GGTAGATAAAGAGGAGCAACATTTTCTTTGTTCTATATCCTGCTCCAACTTTCTCTCCATTTTTAGGTTTTGTTTAATAATCTTTATTAGAATGGCAGATTTGGCAATTATGATTAAATAAATGTTTCAAATCCCTTACACCAATTGCATCATAATCGCACTCAATCTTGTTGACCAAAAATGTTACTTCTAATGAACAAAAAAAAAATTTGGCGTTTTGCTATTAATTGCAAGTAAAGTCCCATTAATCACAATATCTAGGAAACATACTTTTGAATTTTGATCAATAAATTCTCAAATTGCTACAACTAGTTTCCTATATATAAACTCTTCGGATTAAAGGGAAAAAAAAGGACAACTGAAAAATTCACAAAATAATACATCATGACCTTGAAACCAACTACGGTCGTCACCAAATCCATGGCTACAGCCTTATTCACAATTATCGCGATGGCTGCATTCGCGTCTGCACCCACCGGTTTAGCTCAGTCTCCGGAACCAGACCACTTGGTTAACAAGTGTATGGCTAAGATATCTTCAAGATGTGCAATGTATGTCACGGCTGAAATGTTTGGCCGTAGTCCATTGAAACAATACGGATGTTGTCTAGAAATTTATCACATGGGACGAGTTTGTCTTGACATCGTGACAAAGCATGTAACCGAGACGCTTGTGCCCAAGCTTAATGGTGTTCAACAACAAGACTCTATCGAGAAAAGCACACAAATATGGTATCTTTGTGTTCCGGTTTAAATATTTGTATTGAATATCAATTGCGCTTATTTTAGTGATGGAAATGCATGAGGATTTTAAAATAAATCCTATTACAATACAAGTAGAATTATATTATATACCTATTTTTTTGTTTGCTTAGTTTTTATTGCATAAAATATTAATTGTGAACCAATGCTATCTCAAATTTTTTTTTTTTGGTTAAAGAATGCTATCTCAATTTGATGCTTTTGCATGAATTAACGACTTTTTTTTTATAAATATATAAGTAGATGAATCTTTTGACTGTGTAGGAGACATGTAACTTTGTTAACCAAGTGGTCTGGTTCCGTTGTGTAGATTATATCAAATTGAAGTAACGATTTCATATATATGTATATCTTACCGGAAAACATCCAATTAGTACTCCTACTGTTGGCATGCCTAAATATTTACATGACCAAGTGATGAATGCGTACACAAATCTCAATTTCTATTTTTTATAAAAGTTTGCATACTCATATTACAAAGTTGTGCTAATTCTTATTTGATCGTAACATGGATTGAAATGTGATGAGTTTGATATCATAACAGCACCCACTACAATTCAATAGTCAACATTTGTTGAATCAACTATCACATCGCTAAATAAATAAACAAACTCAATTTTTAAAGACAAATCTATGGACGAAAAAAGAAGAAGACAAAATATATAAACAATCTTTTTTTTTAGTTTTGTAATATTCTACAAACTCAATAATTCAATAAGTTATATATTCTTCACATTTTGAATCCCCTTGGTAAGTTCAGACTGTATAAAATTTTCAGCTATAAAAAATAAATAGAAAAAAAAACTGTATAAATAGAACTGAACATAATGTTTTTCGTAAAAATTTTGGTATCGTTTTTGTGATTAATACAATATAAAACATTACAAATTATAAAATAGCTGTAGATTTATTAAGTTTATTATCAATCAAACATTAAATTTGATTCTAATTAATCTCATGAGAATTCAAAAACTTGTACCATATGAAAATGTAACTTATTAAAAACAGAAAAATACGTTTTCTCAAGGAACGAAAATCGGGATGGCATAAAAAAAAAAAAGACCAAAACACAATCCAATAAGTGAGCGACACGTAGATATCAGACGTGTATGTAACCAATCATAGATGACATGTGACGATGCACGTTGTGAGAATAGCATTTACCGATCCCTTTATTTATAATAGGTGGTGAAAAGTGAAACCACACAAAAGATAAAAGCCAATTTCGAATCGAGCAAGG